GCACGTGAGACCGAGAATCTTTACTTTATGTGGGACGGGTAGCCTCCACTCAAGCTTTTAGTGTTTAAAAATGGGGGGTGGGGGGAGGGGGGAACCGTTCTGTTTTGGGGAAAGGGAAGAAGACGTTATATTTATATGTATAGCGTCTTTTGTAGCGCTATAGTATAACGTCTTAATAAAAGCGCTATATTTTCTCGCTTTTTTTAATTCAAATATAGCGTCTTTTTGAAAGACGCTATACTTAACTGGCCAAACGACCGTTAAAGTATAGCGTCTTTTAAAAAGACGCTATATATATTGTGATAATTAACTTTTTTCCTACACATTTCGGTCATTCGAGTCAAAAAGAACCACATTTTGGTTCCGAACTCATTCATGCACTTATTACTTAATCTGAATAGCATATACAAATACCTCCATCTTTTTTTTTTCATTAATATTCGGATACTTTTCACTATTTTACTTAAATGGAAGAAAATAGTCTTTTTTAAAATTTTATATAACAAGTAACTTCATTCAATTCACTCTTTAATTATACGCATGTTAACAATTTGCCCCTTTTAAACTCTATGGGCAGTTTGCTCACTGGAATTTTAAAATATATATATTTTTGCAACATTTATGATTATTTTATGTTAAGATAACTTTATATTTCAATTTTAATGTTATATTTTACTGAATCTTATATGATATATGCAGATTAATTTTATTGCATAAAGTACCTAAAAACTAAAAAAACTATAACTACAACTTTATATTTTTTTAATATATCTCAGTTTTTGATGAAATCAACCAAATATTTGAAAAAAAAAATCAGTTTGGATATTTTTATCTCTGCAGTGGCAAAAACAATATTCTTTATTTGATCAATGCTCATTTATTAGCTCACCGACAAATAATGATAATTTTAATTGCTCTTAGAAATAAGCATGCACTTCCAATTTTTAAATATTAAATTTGAGGCATAAGAGAATCCTAGTTGTCCTCAATAAGGTCCGTTCATGTCATATTTCTTCTAGAAACTACGACTTGGATTTGTGGTGAAAGAGTTTATCCTACGTGCTACAACGATATGTTACAACGATTCTAGTGGAGTGAAAAGTATTTCCTCGTTATTTATTAATTTTTTTGCCTAATATTCTTTTTATTCCCCCAAAATATCTATAAACGTCATCATTTTCCAAATTTCTTGTTTGCTAATTTCAACAAAAATTGCAGTTGGGAAAATGTAGGCTTACTACAATATTTGTAAAAAAATTCACGCGAGATGGCCCAACCTTAGCTGAATTCACAAATCACCATATAGGAATGAACATGTATAAATTCAAAGATTTTTACCAAGCTATACACTTTATGAAACTTTTTTTACCCTTCCTACTCATATGAAAATATCTTTAAAATAGTACGTGACATTTCAGCTCTTATCAAATTATGTAATTTCATTCGTCTCCATATACACTCGCACACTCATATCGTTTTGAATTTTCATTGGAGGACACTGTTCGTTCACTCTGTATTTTGTTTGAATGAGTTTATCATTGCGTGATCTGCGATTGCGGCATTCACAACACTATAACTGATTACAATTCCGTCAACATCGGAATCTATATATCTCCCGAAGTTAAGCCTGCTTATGCTGCTTCACCGGCGCTTTTTCGCCTTCTCTTCGCTCTGGACAGGAGCGCTAGTGGACACGGGGAAGGAGCAGGCGAAGCGTGTCGTTCGTAATGGAAAGAATGCCGTGTCGTCTAGCGGAGCCTAGAAGAAGGTGACTCGCGCAGACAGCCCACTGACAATTGCACTCAAGCATTATCGTTAGTTTTGACATTGTAATTCAGTCGCATCCTCAAATTCAAGCTAGAAAAACAATTTCCAACATATAATTCTTTTAGAAATCCGTTATATGTTCGAGATGATTAAGAATACTTCACATTCATTTGCAATCGTTTATTCTGAAAGGTTTGTTTTGAATTTGTTGTGTTTTTATGGAAAAATGAGAAAATCATCGTTAGAGAATGATTATGCAGAAATTTGGCATGAATTGCGTATTCTTTTGGTTGTATATTGTAGAGTATAAATTTTGTAACTGAAAAATATTCTCTCCCTTCAATCCCGCGTCTAATTATAGATGCCCACATAAATAAGGAGACTATATTAGACGATTGTATTAATTTTATAGGGAAAACATGTTTATGGTGGGTAATTTATAATACTTGAATATTTTGGTAAATAAGTTTCGTGTATAGAAAAAAAAAAATTCAAAAATTCAATTTCAGAGTTATATTTGACTATAATATCTGTAATAAAAAGTGCTTTACTCCTAACTGGAATATTTTGGCGCGGAATTTAATTAGACCACACCAAAGGGAATATTGAATATCGGATGAAATGCCAAAAGAAAATGAAAACAGGCTACAAACATACTCGTGGAGCTGTGACTTGTGAGCCACGTTGACCCCTTATTAATATTGGGGCCAATAGAAAAGACAAAAGAAGAAATATTGTGTAAAAAGCAAAAGAGAGACAAAAACAGAAAAAATATCGTGTGAACTCTAGTGTGCCATATGGGTGGAATGGTTGGAAATAATTATTTGTATTCAATGTTTGAATTAAATTAATAAAAATGTAAAATATTTTAACTAAATACTTTATCCATCATGAGGATTCATAATTTTTTTTTTTTTGGGTAATGGATTCCATAAATTTTAACAAAGAGGACTCAGTCTTTTTATATTTAGATTAAATATTATATATGCAATTGGCATGTATATTGTTTTTTTTAATTTATAAAAAAATCACTTAATATACAATAATAGCATTGGTGCTTCTAGTCTGGTATCCATAAATTTCAACAAAGTTGACGCCATTTTTTTTAAAGACTCAATAAATTATGCAGCCAATTGTTACGTTGACATCCACAGCTGGCAAGAAATATGGACCGCTAAATTTAATGGAAATAAAAATAGTTATTTTTTCTACCACCTCAAACAATGTTACAAAATAAAATAAATAAACAAAATAAATAGACGAAATTAAAAATATAAGAAACAAAGAGAAATAATAAACTCCGTTGCCAGTGACTTCTATTCAAGAATCACCATTTATTTTTAATATAATAAAAAATCATATTCCGTGAAAACTACTCCGTTATTAAAAGATCAATATCTTATGCACAACGTACAAGTTTCAATTCCTTGTCGCCGTTGACCCACTGGGTTCCCTCTTAACTTAAAAAAGACAACCACCAAAGGATGAAGTGCAGTGGAGGAGATTGCTCTTCCCTTAACCAGAGGTCTCAAGTTCGAGCCTTGGGTATGAAAAAAAGCCCTTGGTAGGGAGCGCTTCCCCCCGAATGGGGCCCTATGCGATGCGAATCCGGATATAATAGGGCTCTAATGCTGGTACCGGACACCGGGTGAGAAACCAAAAATAAAAAAAACTTAAAAAAGACAAACAGATTACAAAATTAGTTAAAAGTGAAAAAATAAAGAAGTACAAATAGCACCTTAAGCTGATTTAAGAGAATTGTAAAGCTTTAGAAACAATATTTACTAATTTAAAAGAGAAGTGGATATTTTGGAAAAGATAAAAACAAAAATTAAATGATAGGTTGATATAAAACAAAAACAAATGATAGGTTGATATCCAATAGACATTGTCTTCTTGAATGAGAATTATTTTTTTCAACACAAAATTAGAGGAAGAAATTAATTCACTTAAATACCAAGTTATAAATGTTTACATTAGTTTTTTTTATTAATGGCTAGCAAATTCAATTAAGGTAACATAATAGACTTCGATTTAGCTAATGGGGAGAATTACACGTATCTTTCCCAAGGTTCGGTATGTTTAATATATCTCTGTATGGTCTTAAATATTAGACACATTTCTCCAATTTCTAAATTCAATTTTTCCTATTATAAATGATTATTTAAGTAGTTAACTTATATAATCAGACAAATATAAATTTTTTTTACCTACTATTATTATTATTATTATTTAATATGTTTAGTAAATTATTTATTTTTCAAGTTATCAATTTATATTGTGGACACTTAATCGTAATAGACTTTTAGATAATGCTATAAGGAATTTAAATTTTATGCACTGTCGCACAAATCATTTACTTATTAGTTAATTTCAAGTAAATCTCTTAATAATTATTAATTAATAACCCAGTTAAATTGATAATTAATTTAGTATTACATGTTAAAAGTCACTGACAATCTATAAAAAATGATTTGCACTGTTAGTTTCTATAACTAAAGTCCTGTAAAATTATTTTTACACAATCTAAGAAATTAACACAATATTTTTTTGAAAATAGTATGGGCTAGCCACTTTTCGGATTTATAATTAAAAATAATCAGCATTTGCAAAGTCATTGAAAAATAGCCACTATTTTAGCCAAAACACAGAAAGTTCCAACATAATTTGCTGGATTATGGCGCTCAGGCGTATAAACTTCCAGCATATTATGTTGGAACTCCAGCACATTATGAAATTCCAGCATATTATGCTGGAATCTCGAAAAAATTCAAACTCATGTATATTATGCTGGAATTTTTCCAAATTTTGAAGATTGTTTTTGTTCAGCTTTTATCTTTACCATGAAAAAATGACTAAATTTCGAAACTTTTAAAATTGTGGCTATTTTTCAATTACCAATTACTATAAATTAGCCTATTTTTGATTTTTTTCCCCAATATTTTCCGGTAAGCTACCCTATAATGATTTTGGTAAGTACTACTTCATCCTTAACCAGAGGTCTCGAGTTCGAGCCCTGTGTATGGAGTCGCCTTTGTTAAGGAGCGCTTTACCCATGGGACTTCTTGGCGCGATCCGAATTAGTCGGGCCCCAATGTGGGTACCGAATACCGGGTGAAAAAAAAAATCTTTGAATTTTTCAAAATGGGAAATAATTGCAATTGCCAAGAACCTAAAGGGAATAGGAGATATAACCAATAAATTTTAGTGCAAAGAATTTGACCAACTGCCTACCAAATAACAACTACCTACCACCTTGTTGTTGTCCTAATAATAAACCCCACCACCACCTCTACCTCTACCTCTACCTCTACCTCTACTCCCTCCAAATTGTTGGCGATTCAATTCACATCACAAGAAAAAACAATAAAAACAAACAACAAATAGTAACAAGAAAGAAGTTTCTGAAAGTTATTTAACTTTATATACACACCATATAATTTAGCTACTGTATACCAAACACAGACAAAGACTCTCCCCAAACAACAAAGAACTCTCCTTCACGTTTCCTTTGTGGGGTACTTTTCTTTTCTGTCCTTTACTTTATCTATAGTTTATTGTAATTTTTTCACTGTTTTTAGAAATACCCAGGAAAAAAGTTTAGAACTTTGATTCTTGTATTGACCTTTTTCTTGATTTTTCAGGTGAGTTTCTTGTTTTCTGCTAAAACCCCCTTTGTGTTTCTTGTTGAAAAGTGTTAAAGATTGGAAATTGGGTTATAATGGATAGTTAATTTTGGTTGAAATTTTGAAATTGAGTTATAAAGTGTTTCAGGTGAGCTGAGTTTTAGTCTTTTAGAAGATTTTATGTGAAAGTTTGGATCTTTTTATATTTCTTGGGTTATCAGTTTGATTTATGGGAAGGATTAAGTAAGAATTTGTATTTATTGGAAGGAAGTTGTGATCTTGATGTTATGGAAAGGACTAAGTAGGAAATTTTGATTGTTTGGAAGAAAGTTGTGATTTTGATGATATGAAAATGGACTAAGTAGGAAATTTACCTTCTTTTTTGGAAGAAAGATGTGAATTGTGATTCTGATGTTAAAGGGTGCATAATTCCTGTGGACTGCAGCTGTTGAGTGAAATCCTTTATTTGTTGCAATTGTTGGTAAAGAACAATGAAGAAGGGGAGCCTTGGAGCAATGGTAAAGTTGTCTCCGTGTGACCTAAGTTGAGCCGTAGAAGCATCCACTAAAGCTTGCATTAGGGTAGGCTGTCTACGTCACACCACTTTGGGCGTGGCCCTTCCCCGGGCCCTGCGTAAACGCGGGATGCCTTGTGCACTGGGCTGCCCGTTTTTTTTTAGTTGATAAAGAACAATGAAATTTGGTGCATAGCTAGCTCAGGACGTGTCAATGATACTACACCCTCGTAGAGGAGACCGGAGATCATATATAGTTTACATAGTTCTTGTCATTTAGGGGGAAACTGATATGGTGCATTTCATTTTAGGGAGTGAGAGTGTTTAAACTTTGGTTACTTAAATTAGCTTATGTTGATCATTTGCTGTATGATTCCCTTTGAAAAGTCTTGAGGCTCATCTGAGGGAGAATTGGAAGTAGAAGTTTCTCATTGCAGGTCGATAGTTCGGCATTGCACAATGTAGGGGATGAATAAGTTAATGTTAGTGTTTGTGAATCTCCTTTTTTATATTCTTAATTTTGGGGTTTAAGCTAAGAATAGGAAGAATGCTCAAACAAAGCTATTTGCTTTAACAAAAGATAATGAAGGCTGATGTGATCAATTCTGAGTGGTATTTGTTGCTATAAGTTTATGATTCTCCTTCTCTACACCAGAGGCAGACCCATGATTTGAAGGTCGGGGCGTACTTTTGAATTCAACCAAAATCTGCTTTGTATATAGGGTGCCGACTACTAATATATCACTACTTTCTAAAGGCATAGACATGTATACATGAAATTTTGCCAAACTTTACGGGTGCCAGTGACCCCTCTCTGTATAGATAGCCCCCCCTCTACTCTACACTTACAAAGCTATGTGATTTGACAAAGCGAGTAAACAATCCTGATGAGCATACTGCAATGTGCATTTCCAATAGACTCTTCTGCAATTGATTTTTTTCTATCATCTGCAACACTTATTTGAGTTCTTAATATTGCTTCAACAATACGAGATGGTCAAACCCTTGAATTGTTATGGATCTGATTCTTGCTAGAAAGTCTCTTGGTGAATTTTTAAGGCAAAGCACTTACGTTTTGGCTTGCGTTATTTCCAGTTTTTCTTCCCCTCCAACAATGTCAAGCTTGGAAGAGCCTCTTAACCTAGACAGGTTGCCAAGTTTGAGCAACATTGATTGGCTAGAGAGGTTCTCATCTGGTGCCTGCAGGCCTATAGGAGAAGATATGGCGATGGGGGACTCCTGGACTGATGGGAGAAGTTGCAGTTCGTCCAACAGCTGTGTGTAAGTAGATAAAGTTTTACTCTTACTAAGCTAGTATATATCATGATTCAGGTTGTGCTTTTCGGTTTTTCTCTTTGCACAACTTAGAGTGACAAATAGTGGTGGGCAGCCATTTCTTGTTCCTCTTGCTTATTCTTATTATATTTGAACTTCAAGGTGCCTGCTCCCTCCACTGATTTGTTTGAATAACAAAGGTTCAAATAGGCCGATATTTTGGGTAAAGTTGAAGCCTGATGAACACAAAAATCGGTGTTAGGGAAAATTATTCATAACCCTGATCTGTTTGTATAGCTATTATAATGGTTTCTGTTGTTTTGGATTAGTAATTTTCTATCGAGGTCTTGAGCAATGTTTTAAACAAAGCTAGGATGTTATCTTTTTCGTGACAAAGGACACAACTTTTTCCAGTCTTTCTTTGAATAAAGAGCTTCTCTCATTTGGTGTCTCATTAATTCCCCCCCCACCCCCCCCCCTTCGTTCTAGTCTTGAGAGGCACTATCATCTAATAATCCTTGAAGTTTCTCGCCGCTCGGCATCTCAACGTGGATTTTTTTTTCTTTTTAGAATTTTTGCCTTGATGTGCTCGACTGTTTGATGTATGAGATTCCTAATATGTTTATCTTCAGTGAAGATGATGGCGAATATGGGAGAGAGAACTTCAAATGGAGAAGACATGGATCACGTAACGGCATCTCAAGTCGAAGATCCAAGAGTTTTAGCACTAATTATAGAGTATGTGGAACTGTGTCTCATTCACAATACTTGACAGATCACCAATCTAAATCTTACAGCAACAATAGAAGTACAGTGAGTAAAACGTTCAAGGTAATTCGTCGAAGTGCTTTTTGTCCCTCTGTTAGTTCATCTAAAAAACATGGAATGAACAGTGATTCTGGTTTGCCTGAATGTTTTTGATTTACCGTACATCAGTTGGAGATCCAACACAATGATAATGTTTTATTTCAAGACAAGTGTTTCTTTATTACGTGCACAGATTTCTGGTATCCTTCTTCTTAATCATTTTAATTTCCTGATTGTTTCTTTGTGTGCTAACAGTTGTTCGATGGCATGCCAAAGTATGTGAAGATAGTGGAAGTTGGTCCAAGGGATGGGTTACAAAATGAAAAGAATATTGTTCCTACATCAGTGAAGGTTGAACTAGTTCAAAAACTTGTCTCTTGCGGGCTACCTGTTGTTGAAGTGACGGGATTTGTTTCTCCAAAATGGGTACCTCAGGTAATTCTTCCTCCTTTTATATACAAGGAAACCTCTTTTGCTGAACTTAAACATTGGCTATAGCCTATATGTAAGCTTGCTTCAGACTCTGTGATTAAATACCTTGATTTTTATGCGTTTATTCTGTGAAACTTTTCCTTACTATTCTCATTCTCCTGCTTCTTTTTGATAGCTGTCGGATGCCAAAGATGTAATGGAGGCAGTGAAGGATCTGGAAAGTGCCAGATTGCCTGTATTGACACCTAATATGAAAGTATGTAGCACTTATTGGAAAAAATTTCATGCTCTAGCTACCACTTTCTTCGTCTGATAATTATATTGGTGCTATTTGAATTTCTGTTAGGGCTTTGAAGCAGCTGTTGCAGCTGGGGCGAAAGAAGTAGCTGTCTTTGCATCAGCTTCCGAGTCTTTCTCAAAGTCCAATATCAATTGCAGCATTGAGGAGAGCCTTGTCCGATATCAAGCTGTTACTTCTGCTGCCAAAAAGCTGTCAATACCCGTTCGCGGGTATGCACTTCATGTCCACATATCTTTATATTAGATGAAATGCTCTTTCGTTTTCTATTTTTCCCATGAGTTCGAATTCATTGACCTCTAGTGATCATTTGAATTGCCTTAATTTTGAAGCGAGTCGTCTAAATTACCTCACTTCCCTGACTTCAATTTCGTTAGTAGACTAATGACAGGATGAGGGAAGGAGAACCTTGGCATAACTGGTAAAGTTGTTGCCATGTGAGCAGGAGGTCACGGGTTCGAGCCGTGGAAACAGCCTCTTGCAGAAATGCAGGATAAGGCTGCGTACGATAGACCCTTGTGGTCTGGTCCTTCTCCGGACCCCGCGCATAGCGAGAGCTTAGTGCACCGGACCGCCTTTTTTTTATTTTTTTTTTAAACTAATGACAGGATGAGGACCTTAATATTTCTATAGGGAAAGAGAAGACAAAATCTTATTAGTTTTCCGCAGCTTGGATGTTGTAGCATGTTACATTTTATGCCTTACCATCATATGTGGTTCAAACTTAAATCAGGTCTTTCAATGCGTGACAGATATGTATCATGTGTTATTGGTTGCCCAGTTGAAGGAGCAATTTCACCTTCAAAAGTGGCATATGTAGCAAAGGAACTTCATGATATGGGATGCTTTGAAATCTCCCTTGGAGACACAATCGGAGTCGCTACTCCAGGTAATGTTTTAAATGATGTATTTCTTTTCAAGTGAAGAATGCCTTAAGTTTTTTGGTTACGAGTTCAATTGAAGTGCTGTTTATGTCATTGAATATTTCTATGTAGGTTCCTAAACTAAAGTTTTTTTTTTCTCTTTTCCTTTTTGGGGGTAAAAATATAACGTATATAAGCTATAGCTTCAAATTTCTATCTTGCTTTAGTGGGGATCTAACCTATGTTTTCAATTGAATGGTGGTTAGAGTAGGGAGGAAAGAAAAAACAGAATTTCGACAAATTATGTGAAATGACTTGACTTCATTTCCATGTCGTTTTGTTTTTCTTTCCAGGAAATGTTGTTCCTATGCTTGAAGCGGTGATGGCTGTGGTTCCTGTTGAAAAGCTTGCTGTGCATTTCCACGATACCTACGGACAGTCTCTTTCTAATATTTTGGTTTCCCTCCAAGTAAGTTCTTCTCTTGGAATTCAAGTACAAGCACATATACATTTCTTTCGTGCTGGCTTTGCAAATTTTTGAATCCAAAATATGAAAATAATTGCATTTCGTGTGAGTTAAGCTGCTGAACACTAGTTAGAAAGTCAAAAACCAGTAAATGTTGGTTGGTCATAATTACAAATACTGCCTCTAGTTAAATAAGTATTGCTAACCTCCCAATAATCTCAATGTGCCTTCTGCTAGACCTTTTTTGTTCAACCTACTCGAGAATTTATGAATAACGGATGAAAAGTACAAGTTGGAGGTGCACATGTGAAGATTGGAATCTCTAACATAAATTAGAGCGGAACAAGGTCCATGTCTGCACAAACTAGGAACTTGGAAGTACTCTACGGGGAAGACTTTTCTGACAAATTGGATGATGCACACTAGTCGATGAATTGAGAGTTGAAATCAAGTATGTACTGCTTTGCCACGTTCGACAAAGCAGGAACTTAGTATTTTTTTTTTTTTTTTAAAAATTTGGGGTAGGGAAAGGGGAAATGGGGGCGGAGATTACAAGGTGAGGAATCGAACCCTCACCAACAAGGTGAAAGTTCAGGTAGCCAACCAGCTGAAAAGGGCAACCTGGTGTACGAAGCATTCCGTGTTCACGCAGGGTCGGGGGCAAGGGGGTGTGATGTAGGCAGCCTACCCTAATGCAAGCATAAGTAGACAACCAACTGAGCTACTAAGATTCCCCGCTTAGTCTGGTTATTGTTGCAGAGTTCCTGTTTTTTTTCAATTGTATAAAAGTTCAGGAATGTTGAGCTCATGTTACTACTGTCTGTTGTATTGTCCACAGATGGGTATTAGCACAATAGACTCATCCGTTGCTGGACTCGGAGGCTGTCCATATGCCAAAGGAGCTACTGGCAATGTTTCAACAGAAGATGTTGTCTATATGCTTAATGGTCTAGGGATAAAAACCAACGTCGATATACAGAAACTCTTGCTAGCGGGAGAGTTCATCAGCAAGTATTTGGACCGGCCATCCGGATCTAAAGCAGCTGTTGCTTTGAGCAGTAACCAGAAGATATAGAGTATAAAATATGCCACTTTTTAGAGTATACTTATCAAAATTTGATGAAAAATGATGTATTTGAGACTGTATTGGCAAAATGAAGATGCCACTATTATGACAACATCAAGCTGCTCATTGCAGCATATATTATACATAATACAAAGAGTATTGATTTATGCTTCCCTTTTTCTTCTTCATAATTGTTTTACTTGTTATCGACTTCTCCCCATGCTTTCTTTGGCGTAGATCTCATTTTGAACTTAGTAAAAGAGAAAAAAGCAGAAGATGTCTAATGCACTAAGCTCCCGTTATGCGCCAAGTTGGGGAAACGGTCCGACCATATTGAGTCTATTGTAAACCTTACCTTGCATTTTGAGGTTATTTTCACGGCTTGAATACGTGACCTCTTGATCACACGTTCCATGGTCATTTAGATACACAAACAACCTTTTATGTGTGTGTACACACACACATTATACTCTATAATGTGTGTGTCTAAATGACCCACACACATATATATATTATATATAGAGTATATAATATATAGAGTATATATATATACTATATATATATATATATATATATATATATATATATATATATATATATATATATGAAACTTTTTCTCATATTTTGCTCAAACAACCATTCTTTAGTAAAACTTAAAAACTGATTTTGCAAACTCAAAAACGTCAAATAAACGC